CAGCCGCAGGTCTAGACAAGCAGCAGGGACTGTGGGGGTGGACAAGGCAATTGGTTTCACATTTGGAAAACAAAGCAAAGGGAGAAGCTCTTGTTTTCATGACACAGAAATCAGAAAGTAGTTTTCACGATGGTCTTGGCTGCTGACGACGATGCAGATTGCCGCTCCCCCGGAGCCGAGGCCTCTACGCCCAGGGGTGGGCCGGAATCTCCGGGGTTGGGGGACTGGTTTGTGGTTATCAAAGGGGTCTAGGGCTGATGCAGAAGGAAAAGCCAGGTATAGGTATTTAGTGACACTTCATAACCCAAGCCTCCCAATGGCCTGTTCTCCCTTCCCTTCACCTGCTCACGCAGGCACCATCCAACATTCGCTCGGCATCTAATGCCACAAGGCATGACAGGGGATACAGAAATAAACAAAATAAAATCATTAGCCTAAAAAAAAGAGGGTGAATTTCATGGTATGGGAATTAATTATATCTCAATAAAACTGTTATGAAAAACGTGTTCTTGAGAGCTAAACCCACAAACGGGGCAGCTGCACACAGGGCGCTGTAGGGCCCTGGCACCCTGCGCACTTCAGGAACACAGGGAAGTCTGAAGCGCGATTGACAACAAGAGGGTCGTCAATTCCGAAAAATGGTGGCAACAAAATCTACCGAGTGACAAGCATGAGGGTAGCTCGGTGTTCGAGTGCCGATCCTGTCTTCCTGGTGAAGAGCACGTTGTAGGTCTGTTTGGCATCTCATAGACTTAGAGATGTCAACTGTTTACGTTGACGACAATGGGATGGATAGGCCGAGCGCAGAGGAGTTTTAGGGCAGTGGATCTAGAAACCAAGATCAACACATTGTGGAGCTGTGTTCTCCTGCGAACGTTTTGTATCTGTCTTCTCTTCATAAGGGGCCAGAGAAGGAAGCAGGCCTGGTCTGCACCACGCCCGGTGTCTTCCAGGCCCCGAGGAAGGCGCTCATATGTTAGTGGGAGGAGATGGTGCTGGGCGCGGGCAGGTCTGGGTCAGTCCTGGCTCTGTCCATCCTTACCAGCTGTGGTCCTGGACAAGGCGCTTCCTCTCGGAGACGTTTCTCATTTCAGAAGATGAGAACACCACCCCTCACACATGGCAGTGAAGATCCAGCAAAGGGTGCCTTACCCGGCCTCGATTAAGTAGAATAAGTAGGTACCCAACAGATGCTGGGGCCCTGCCCTGCAGCTAGCGTGCCTGTCCCAGGAGCAGCGTATGGAGTCTGGAGAGGAGGAACACTCTCAACACTGCTTCCTAATTGAACGAGCCCCAGACTCTCAGCCCAGGAAACTCTCATCAGCTCTGGAGGCCACCCCACCCACCCACCTCCCGCCCCAAGAAGGGCCACTAGCCACAAGTCAGCTGCCTGCAGGGGCCACACCACCAGAGACAATGGTCATTTGCGTTTTATTTATGACAATTTCTTAGAACACACACACACATCCAGTCTAGGAACAGAAATCTACAGCATGAGGCTTAAATAACTTTCATACACTATGTACAGTCATCCACAGAGGTACAAAACATATATACACCTTGTGCTAGCCACACAGCAGAGGGTACGGGCCAGATGAACCCTGCAGCCTGGGCAGGAGGTGATCACTAGAAAAGAGCTGGTGGGCAGGGCAGGGCCCTGATTCACTTCAGGGGTCTTCTCTGACCCTTGGCTCTTCATGAGCAGTTCTCGCTTCCCTGCAAGGCCCTCGGGACATGGGTTCAAAGGACTGGGCTGGGGTGTGGTGGGGGGTTGGGGGCTCATCTGAGTGCTGGGGATGGCAGGAGGGATAGAACAAAGATGACATAGAAGAAACAGAACTTTCCCTGTAGAGTCTGTCCTTGCACATAAGAGGGCAGTGAAGGATCTGGGAGCCAGGAGAGGAGGGCCAGGCCCAGGAAGGCCTGTGGGGGGCACTGGCCAAGCCCTCGCTCCTGAGCCTGGACCAGGAGGCTGTGCCAAGCTAAGGGAGCGGCGAGCAGTCTCCTGTTGGGGATGGCAAAGGGACAGACGCCACTGGTGTGGGAGGTAACCCTCGGCTCTCACAAACACGACGGTGAACATGGCGGGCACAGGCAGGGCAGACAAGCCAGGGGGAGTGCCTGCACCCAGCCCAGGCTGTCAGAGGATGCCCGAGAGTCGGGACGGTCTCCGTGATGCAGGAGCGGAGCGTCTTGGACTTCACAGCGGCCCCGCCTGCCTGTGTCTCCACCACGCTGGGTGGCGTGAGAAAGTCCCAGCAACACAGTCTCCTTGCAGTGGTTTTGTGCTTTAAACTGCCCTCTGCCCAAGCCACACCGCCCCAGGCGGGCAGCAGGGCCACATAAGCGAGGGTGGAAGGTTCTAGGTTGAGGCTGCGGCGAGGGTGGGTGGGCAGGGAGACCACTCCCAGATCCACAGATGTTCCTTCCCGAGGGGCTGACGGTGGCACTTAACCACCTCAAAGGCATAGGTGTGCCAGCCTCTGCCTCGTCGCCTTTCCTTCCATCTTGGCAGCCTCCAAAGACAACTCCAGCTGCTGCCTTGGGGAATTTGGGCTGCCGTGGAGGAGTCAGTCACTCAGATGAAAGCAAACACTGCCCTGGTTAATACTGGGGACAGAGCCTGGCACAGGACTGCACTGAGGAGGCCCACGGGCAGTGGGGATGGAAGAACCCTCCATCTAGGGAGCTCGCCAGACAGCTTCCAAAGCATCCACGGGGCTCAGCCGAGGAGACAGGGAACGTGGGTCCCTGCTCGTCAGGCTCAGTAGGGCTGGGACCCAGCCTGGGCTCAGGCATCCAAAGATCTGGGGTATGGGGTCGAGAGAGGGCACTACTCCTGGGCCCACGGCATTCCAACGTGGCCTGGCCTGCAGTGGCTTAGCCCCACATCTTCAGAGGGGCAGAGAAAAATAAATAGCATGACAAGTCCCAGAATTGGGCCAAGCCCTGGTCTGAGTGAGGGCAAGCCCCCCAGACGTGGGCATCCTCGTCTAACCATGGACAGAGCTGACCTGGGAGGAGACTTCTGGGCCCGGGTTTGCCCAGGGTGCCTGCCATGAGCCCTGCCCCTGTGCTCAAATCACAACCATTTTGTGCTTGCAACACTTATGACGCTTGTGCAACAAGTGGACTGGGGGCCTGCCCCCTATGTGCCTGGGACACCCCTGAAGGAGCGGGCAGACTCCGAAGATCCCGGAGCACAGCTCGGGACGGCTCAGGGCTCCCGAGGGGCTTCAAGTTTAGAGCCAACGACACTCGCCAGGACAGCAGGGCCAGCCCGCCGTGAGGTAGCTGACCCACCGGGAACAGCAGGAGACGGGCGCTGACACACTGAGCACCTCTCGCAGGCCATAGGTCACAGTTCGGGCGGGGACAGGCCTGGCAGCACGAGACAGTCAGCCAGGGCTGGGGCGCCCCTGGCCCTGGGGGAGCGCAGTCTGTGTGTTTCTACACTTGTAAACAGTCATGCAGACGGAGTCTTTCTTACAGGTTGCAAGGTCGAAACTTTCTGTTGGGTGGGGAGAGGGTCGGGGAGGGGACAGACCTGTGCTCGCTTCTCAGTGGTGAAAGGAGCGGCCCGGCACCCTGGATGGTCGGAGGAGGGGGGACTTCCAGACTGGACAGACTGTCCAGGCCCCAGGAGACCAGCCTACAAGGGTGTGCCCTTCCTGTTCGTCAGCTCGGCCAGTCCTCACAGCCACGTCCAGTAGGGGCCCCCCACAGCAGGACTTAGCCTCGGGGGCAGCTCCGGGCAGGGGGGAGAGCCACACCCGGGCCCCAGCGGGGGTCTTCCCTTTCACAGCTAAGACGGCTCCTCTGCCCCGTGTGCCGTGTGCCGCGCAGGCCCACACCACGGCCACCTGGAGCAGGCTCCAACCCGGGCCACAGGGTGAGGTGTCCAGGGCAGACACAGAGCTGCCTCTGGAAGGTCCAGAGGTCACCGCATCTTCTGAACGGAGCTGGGGTCCTGGCCCCCAGACTGAGGCCAGGAAGCACAAGACTAGTTCAGCAACTGAAAACCAGTGTGGACAGGTGGGATTGGGCAGAGGGAGGGGCACAACCACCCGCAAGGCCCTGGCCTGTAAATTGAGGGGGCGCTGGGACAAGGATTCCACAACACCCCTGCAATTGAGTCCACAGCCCCTCGAAAAGACACACTCAGTGAGCTCCCTCCTCACCGCTGACCTCCTAAGAGGGAGCGCCTGGGGCCCGTGCCACTTTTAAGGCTTAAAATCGTGTCTCCTGAATAGCCAGAGAGAGAGAAGTTGGAGGGACGCCCTGCCCACTCAGGGTGAAAATCCAGCGGGCTGGGGAGGGGACCAGCTGTCCTCACCGTCCAGCTGAGGCCTCGTGGACACAGGCCTCCGAGCTGCTTCCTACGCGGCCCGCCAGGACCGTGGGAATGGGGCCCCTGGGCTAGGCCATGGGGTGGAGCTCCCCCGCCTTCCGGGGGCAGCGGGCACAAGACCCTATGAGTGAAGACACGTGTGGCGCCACGGCCATGGCTGGTGTAAGGCTGCCCGGCACGGGCACCAGGCCCTGGGGAGGAAGGCACTGAGCATCACAGCCTGGAGTCAGGGGTGCGCTAGAATGGTACCCGGGGTGACAACGGGCAGGCCGAGCTGCAGAGGGAAGGGGCGCTTCCCTCCCCTGCAGAGCAGGCGAGGAGCGGCCCTGGATGGCCGGCAGAGCGGGTCCCCTTTGGGGTTCCCCTCCCCCCAAGAGCTGAGGGAAAGAACACATGGGAAGAAACTTCAAGTCAGTTTCCAGGAGGCAACAGCAAAAAATAAAAATAAAAAATAAAATAAATAACTGAAGGATTTCTGACCACCTCCCCGAGGGAATCTTTCCAGCAGCTCTGCCGTGGGCTCCATAGGAAAGGGACCCCGAGGGATTGCCAGGGTCACCTGGGAATGGCTGTTGGTGGCCACAGGGCTGAGGGTCACTGCAGGGCCCAGCTGCCTCCACCTGGTCTCCATGGTTACCTGAGGACTATCTGGGCTCAGAGGCAGGTCTGGGGCTGCTTCACCGCCCCCACAGGGCCCCTACCCTGAGGCCAAAGGCTCAAGGAAGGGCATGGCCAACTCAGCAGGAGAAAGGTGGCCATCGTGGGGAGGCCAAGGGGCCGCAGGGAGAGAAATGAGGGGGAAATGCCCTTTGGCTTCACAGCTTAATTTCCTCCCCAAGCTCGCTCTCTCCCCACGAGGCAGGGGAGGGACTGGGGACAGTACCCTGTGGGAAGGTCAAGGGGGAGGAAGGAGAGCAGGAGGGGCCACACCCATTGCCCACACCCTCTGTCCCCAGGGCAGCTGGCCCCATCGGCCACGGCTTCCCTTCCGTGCTGTCCAGGCTGCCAGGGGCCGAGGGTCCAGGGGCCATCCTCTGACCTCACGCTCAGGGTGGGCCACTGGGTAACCGCCGTACACTCCAGAACTTCACTGTCAGGTCGCTGGGGTGGAGGACAGAGAGGGGCTGGTCAGCTCCTGAAGCAGGCCCAGCTGGCCACCCCCCGAGAGTAAGGGATGGGCCAGATTCCCCAACCGCCCAAAAGCAGCGGGGGCCCAGGGGCAGGCCTTGCTCAGGACCAGGGTGGAGCGCAGGGGCAGGCATCCCGGGCAGAGGGAGAGGCCCGCGTCTCAAAGGCCCAAAGGATTCTTGTTGTGGGTTTTCTTGGTTGTTGATGTTTTGTTTCGTCCCCTCTGCTTTCTGCTACCTGGCACCCCTCTCCTGGGGGCCTGTCCCACTGCGCATGCTTGGAAGGGGAGGGTGAGGCGGGCAGGGCAGTCTCTCTGGGCCAGGCGGACAGGAAGGGAGAGCAGGGAGGAGTAAAATCGTCTCCTACCGTCGAGAAGCAGCTCAGACCGAAGTGGAGAAAGAGGGAGAAGAGAGAGGAGAGTGAGGGGCGGGGGGAGGGTCAGGGCAGGGTGGTGGCGCGGCCCTTTATGGCCAGGACCCGGCGAGGAAGGCAGGGGGTGAGTCCAGGGACGTAATTCCACAACTTTACCCGGCAGTCACTGTGCGGGAGAGAGGGACAGGCAGAGAGGAGAGGCAGGAGGAGACGGGGAGGGGAGAGAAGGGAGACGGTCGGAACAGGAAGGAAAAAGAAGACAGCCCTCTGAGTAGCTCCCGGGGGACAGAGGGCCTGTGCAGCCCCTGGACAGGGCCAGGGCTGGGGCTGGAGGGAGGGGTCCAGGGGCGGCAGGGCTGCTCTGCGGTCTGAGACACCTGGACAGGGGACTGCTGTATGGGGGGCAGGAGAGGCTTGGAGACAAGGGGGTGAGTCCCGGCCTGGGGCCCAGCACCTTCCTGCTCCCCTGCCCCTGGCGGGCACTCCATGAAGGCTGCACGGGCTGGCGGGCACCATGGGGACAGTGGCAGGGGCCTGGAGGCTCCCCGGCCTGCCCCGCCCATGCCGGGGGAGGGTGGGGAACATGAGCAGACTGCCGCGGCACCCACCTGGAGGCAGTGAAGATGTGCTTGGCATTGGTGCAGATGGCGTTGATGGGGCTGTCGTGGCCCTTGATCTCCCCGATGGGCGTGAAGTTGTCCACGTTCCAGACCTTGATGACGCCCGCCCGGCAGGCGCTCAGCAGCATGGGGCGGCCCGGGACGAAGGCCAGGGCGCACACCCAGTCCTTGTGTGCATTGGGGATTTGCTGCGGGAGGAGCGGGGCTGGTGAGGGCTGGGGGAGGTGCTGAGGAGGGAGAAGCTGGGAGGGGACCCTGCACGCACACACGGAGGACTGTGACCAGGCTCCCCTCTGCCTCTAGAGTCCGTGGGCAGGCAGCCATCACAGGTCCCAGGAGCCAGGCCTGTGCTGGGGACGGCAGGGACTCAGAGACAGGTTCTTTGGCCCCCTCCCAGGCTCAAACCTAAGATACTGCACTGGTGGGGAACTCTGCAGCCTTCTGAGGGGTCAGAGGGACACGCAAGTGCTCTGGGAAAGGGAACACAGTGACAGCTTCACACCAAACCCAGGGGCTGAGAGCAGGTGCATTAGAGAGGGAGGTGGAATCAGGAGAGGCTGCAGGCAAGGGTGGGTAGACACAGAGGAGATATGGGGTGCAGAACAGGCGGGCTGGGGAGCTCTGACCCGAGACCCAGGGTCCCCACGGCCCCGCCTGGGCTGGGGGAGCCATGTCGCCCCGGCCCACCCTCCCCCTCTTGCCACCACACCTGGATGAGCTCCTGCTGCTCCAGGTCCCACTTCTTGATGCCGTTATCCCGGGAGCCACTGAACAGGATGTCTCCTTGGATGGCAAGACACTCGATGCCATCGTAGTGGGGGGGCTCGAAGTTGTGGGTGGGGCCGATGGTGCCCGTCACGCACTCCCCCAGCTCGAACATCTGCGGGTGGAAGGGCTGGAGGGAGCATGGAGAGGCCAGGGCCAGCCACCCGCCCTGGACACAGCACCGCCTGGAGGGGTGCGCTTCTCCGGAGGACTGAAGACGCTGAAAGCTCATGTCTCTACCTTCCCATGGGGACAGGGAGACCGCCTTCAGTTAACACAGGGGGACCCCACAGCTCAGCATGTGGCTGCTTAGAGAAAGGTGGGTGTGGGGTGTGACCCTCCCTTTAAAATTCTTTCTTTCTTTTTTTTTTGGTGAGGAAGATTCGTGCTGAGCTAACATCTGTGCCCATCTTCCTCTACTTTGTATGTGGGATGCTTCCGCAGTGTGGCTGGCGAGTGGAGGGGGTCTGCGCCTGGGATTTGAGCCCACAGACTCAGGCCACCAAAGCGGAGGGTGCAGAACTTTAACCACTCGGCCACGGGGCTGGCCCAAAATTCTTTTATTTCTTAATAAATAAATATAACATCACTTGTACTTTAAAGAAAAACATTCATCATGACCCATTGCCCTCTCTGCCCCTTTTATACCCTGCGTTTCCAGTTGTGAAGTAGGGTTTTCAGTGATGTAATCAGGAGCAAACAAGATCAGTGCTGTTTGTACCTTCATGTTTTGTTTTCTTATTCAGCCTGTTAACAGTCACACTGCGTCCCGTTCAGTGGTTTTTCCCTCATTTACAGACCGTTATTCTACCCAAGACATTCAGGTTCTTTCTAATTTTCACCATTTACAAGATAACTCTGCAATCCTACAGTCTGCACACACATTCTCGCTCTGTGGAGGGATTTCTTCAGTACAAATGCCCAGAAGTCTCATTATTTCCATGAGTGCCCCCAAGGCCACAGAGCAGGGAGGTGGGGGAGTGGGGGACACCCTGGGAACGGTCCCCTGAGGCTTCGGGGCTGCGGCTTCCCTGGTACCTTAACGTAGTGGTCCTTCGAGCCGGTCACCACCAAGTCGTGCTGGCTGGCGGTCTGGGTGACTGTCAGGCACATCACAGGGCCGATGTGGCCGGTCAGCTTGCCAACAGGCTGGAACCTGCGGAGGGAGAGGCGCAGCTGGGGCAGGTGGGTCAGAGGGGAGCCTGGTTGGGGTGGGGTCTGCCCTGGAATAAATATGTCCGGTGGGGTCCTTCCTCCCCTGGAGCAAGAGCGAGAACCTAGACATAAGCTGCGCATCCCAGGGGTCTTGGGCAGAGGAGCAGCAGAGGTCCCGCAGCGCTGGGGAGGTTGCCCCAAGCTGAGACCCGCGTGCGCGCCCTCAGCCATGCCAACCCCCTGCCCCTGCCCAGGCACCCCCTGACCTGCTGAGCTCCCAGATGCGGACGGCGTTGCCTGAGGCTGCGTACAGCATGGTGCCCGAAGGGCTGAGGGCGATCTGGTTGATCTGGTGCTCTCCCTGAGCACTGGTGATGGCGCGGGTGGATGTGGCGGCACAGGCGTCACCTGAGGTCACCTGGCCTGAGGACCTGCCCACGAGGAGAAGACGCAAGGTCAGAGATCAAAGTGGTCCATCTGCACAGGCCAGGAAACCAGTCAAATCGCACTCAGGCCAGGCCAGTAACCCACTTCTTCCAGGAAGCCTTCCCTGACTGCTGGACAGGAGCAACTGCCTCTCCTGGAAGTTTCCGGTCTGACAAGGGCGGGAATGAGGGGCGAGCTCCACTCCACCCCCCAGCAGAAGACGGGTCCCTGTGCCTGCCCTGCGGCCCGCCTGAGCAGGGGCTGGGACAGACCGGAAGACTCAGTCATGAGACTGAGTTTGAGCCTGGGTCTTGTGGAAATTGTTTAACCTTTCTGAGTCTCCGTTTCCTCCTCTGTACATAGAGGTGATAATACCCATTCTGTTTACTCTCTATTTTTTTTTTTTTTTT